AAAAGAAAAAAAAAAAAAAACAGCTAGCGCCTGCTCCGACAACCGTCTTCCACACCTCTTACGTCGTACCAGATCAGATACTCAATTGACGTTGCTTGCTATCCTGTGTGCTGACACGCTGCATCCTCTTCATCTCAGGACATTGCACTCTATGGTGAAGCCCCCGTCCGCAACAGCCTCGCAGGACTCGATCGCGATCGCTACAAGGCCGAGACGCAGAACCAGACGCAGCACCCGCCCAAGACATCGTCATCCGCCCGCTCCGGCCACTCCAACTTCCACCTCCCAGGTCATCACCACCGGCACAATCGAAGCCATGACGACCAGCGAAGCATGAGGATAGCAGCGTCGAGCCGAGACGAGTCCGCCAACGGTTCCCAGATCACAATGGCCAGAGACAAGGGGAAGCGAGCGCCTGCGCCGAGCACGCGGTCCGGCGCGGACAGCCCGACGCCGAGCGCCAGCAGCATACCGATCCCTGGCTCCGCCTCCCGAGGCTCGCCCATGGACGTCAACAACTCACCGCCCACCCACCACAGCAAGTTTGGCCTCCTCGGCCGCTTCCGCAAACACCACAAGGACAAGGACGACGCCGGCTCCTCGAGACTCAAGTCGCTGCCTCAGTCGACCCGGTCACTCCAGACCAGCCAGACCGCCGGCCCGCCCGAGCTGTCTCCGTCCGCCACCGTCCCCCCGTCCATATACGGCGGCGCCGAGCAGGACGGTAGCGAATCCCTGGCCCAGTCGCGCCGCGGCGCCACCTTCAACAACAGGTTCCCCTTCTCCTCCGCCAAGAAGAAGCCGACGAACCGGCCCGCCGAGGATGATGACGAGCACATCGGCCCGACCGACCGCAGCGACCCGGGACACGTGTACCACCTCGACACCAACCTGAACGACATGGAAGGCATCTTGTCGAAGCCGCCGGCCCTGGCCCCCATCGACCTCGCCTTCATCAACGACCCGGAACGCCGCGAGTCCGTCGCCTCGCCGCCGCCAAAGGGACGGTGGGACGCGCCCGACAGCTGGGCCGTGCGGCGCGGCACCGACGACAACACGTACCAGACCCCCGAGCTCGACGAGACCCAGACGCCTCCGCGCGACGAGGAGAAGCTGAAGTCCTACTGCATCCGCATCTTCCGCTCCGACGGCACCTTCTCCACGCACTCCATGCCGCTCAACGCCAGCGTGACCGAGGTCATCTCCCAGGTCATCAAGAAGACGTACGTCGTCGACGGCCTCGAGAACTACCACATCATACTCCGGAAGCAGTCGCTGATCCGGGTCCTGGGCCCCAACGAGCTGCCGCTGCTCATCCAGAAGCGCCTGCTGCAGCAGGTCGGCTACGAGGAGAGGGATCGCATAGGCGACCTGGGCCGCGAGGACAACAGCTACCTGTGCCGCTTCATGTTCCTCTCCGCCAAGGAGAGCGACTTCCACTCCAAGATGGCCGACCTGGCCGTGCCCAGGAACCAGAAGCTCAACTACGTCGACCTGTCGGCCCGCAACCTCATCACCATACCGATCTCGCTCTACTCGAGAGCCGCCGACATCATCTCCCTCAACCTCTCGCGCAACCTGTCGCTCGACGTGCCCCGGGACTTCATCCAGTCCTGCAAGAACCTCCGCGACATCAAGTTCAACAACAACGAGGCCCGGAGGCTGCCGCCGAGCCTGTCGCGGGCCGGCAAGCTCACCTACCTCGACGTCTCCAACAACCGCGTGGAGCACCTCGAGCACGCCGAGCTCGACACGCTCTCGGGCGTGCTCAAGATGAACCTGGCCAACAACCGCCTCAAGAGCCTGCCGCCCTACTTCGGCGCCTACCAGGCCCTGCGGTCGCTCAACATATCCTCCAACTTCCTCGACGAGTTCCCCCGCTTCCTCTGCGACCTGCAGAGCCTCGTCGACCTGGACCTCAGCTTCAACACCATCAGCCAGCTACCCGACGAGATCGGCAACCTCAAGAACCTGGAGAAGCTCCTCGTCACCAACAACAGGCTGTCCCACTCGGTCCCCCGCTCGTTCGCCGACCTCATCAGCCTCCGCGAGCTCGACATCAAGTACAACGGCATCACCTCCATCGACGTCATCTCGGAACTGCCCAAGCTGGAGATCCTGTACGCCGACCACAACGGCATCTCGGCCTTCACCGGCCGCTTCGAGCGCCTCCGGCAGCTCAAGCTCAACTCCAACCCGCTCAACAAGTTCGAGATTGAGGAGCCCATCCCCACGCTCAAGTCGCTCAACCTGTCCAACGCGCAGCTGGCCAGCATCGACTCGGCCTTCCACCACATGCCCAACCTGGAGAACCTCGTGCTGGACAAGAACTACTTCGTCTCGCTGCCCGCCCAGATCGGCACCCTGCTCAGGCTGGAGCACTTCAGCATAGCCAACAACTCGGTCGGCGAGCTCCCCCCCCAGATCGGCTGCCTGACGGAGCTGCGCGTCCTCAACGTGCGCAACAACAACCTCAGCCGCCTCCCCATGGAGATCTGGTGGGCCAAGAAGCTCGAGGTGCTCAACGCCTCGTCCAACATCCTCGACCACTTCCCCAAGCCGGCGTCGCGGCCGCCGCGGGTGCCGGGCGAGGACCAGCCGGAGCCGACGACGCAGAACGGCAGGCCGACGCTGGGCTCCCTGTCGTCCGCCCCCAGCTCGGACGAGCTCGCCGAGGAGAGGCGTCCCAGCCAGGGCTCGAGCACGCTCCTCAGCGTGGGGACGCTGCAGACGGCCGACAGGAAGAGCCCCATCATCTCGGTGTACGGCAAGGGCGGGCGCCAGACGTCCGTCATCTCGAGGAAGAACGGGTCCACGGCGGGCATCTCCGGGCCGCCGCCGCCGCCGCCGCCGCCGCTGCCGCCGTCGTCGGGCGCGACGGCCGTGGGCGGCGGCGGCAGGAAGGACTCGAGCCTGAACTCCAGACTGATCAACACCTTTGCCGGGTCGCTCCGGAACCTGTCGCTGGCGGACAACAGCCTGGACGACGACGTGTTCGACCAGATCACGCTGCTGGCGGAGCTGCGCGTCCTCAACCTCTCGTACAACGACGAGATCAGCGACATGCCCCAGCGATCCATCAAGAGCTGGCCGCAGCTCGTCGAGCTGTACCTGTCCGGGAACGGGCTGACGACGCTGCCCGCCGAGGACCTGGAGGAGTCGAGCCTGCTGCAGGCCCTCTACATCAACGGCAACAAGTTCACCAACCTCCCGGCCGACATCTCGAGGGCCAAGAAGCTGGCCGTGCTCGACTGCGGAAACAACTACCTCAAGTACAACATCTCCAACGTGCCGTACGACTGGAACTGGAACCTCAACCCGAACCTGCGGTACCTCAACCTGTCCGGCAACAAGAAGCTGGAGATCAAGCAGAGCGCGTGGAGCGGGACGGCGGCGATACCCGGCATGGGGGACAGGGAGCAGTACGCCGACTTCAGCCGGCTGACCAACCTCCGGGTCCTCGGCCTGATGGACGTGACGCTCACGCAGCCGAGCATCCCGGACCAGAGCGAGGATCGCCGGGTGCGGACCTCGGGCTCGCTGGCGGGCCACCTGCCGTACGGCATGGCCGACACGCTGGGCAGGAACGAGCACCTGTCGACCGTGGACCTGGTGGTGCCGCGCTTCAACTCGTCCGAGTCGGAGATGCTGCTGGGCCTGTTTGACGGGCAGGCCCTGTCGAGCGGCGGGTCCAAGATCGCCAAGTACCTCCACGAGAACTTCGGCAACGTTTTCGCCCAGGAGCTCAAGGGGCTCAGGAAGGCGGCCGAGGGCAGCGGGGGCGAGGACGAGACGCCGGCCGACGCGCTGCGGCGGGCCTTCCTGGCCGTGAACAAGGACCTGGCCACCATCACGGTGCACCACGCCGAGGACAGGCCCAGGACGACGCATCGGGGCTCGGCCCAGTCGCTGGTCCTGAGCAAGGAGGACCTCGCCTCGGGGGGCGTGGCCACGGTGGCGTACCTCCGGGGCACGGAGCTGTACGTCGCCAACGTGGGCGACGCGCAGGCCATGGTGGTGCAGAACGACGGGTACACCATCCTGACGCGCAAGCACGACCCGGCGGAGCCGTCCGAGCGGTCGCGCATCCGCGAGGCCGGAGGCTGGGTCTCGCGCAACGGCCGGCTCAACGACACGCTGGAAGTGTCGCGGGCGTTCGGGTACAGCGACATGATGCCGATCGTGCAGGCCGCGCCGCACGTCAGCAACATGACGGTCCGGCAGCAGGACGAGGCCATCGTGCTGGCGACCAAGGAGTTCTGGGAGTACCTCTCGCCGGGACTCGTGTCCGACATCGCCCGCGCGGAGCGGCAGGACCTGATGCGCGCGGCCCAGAAGCTGCGCGACCTGGCCATCGCCTACGGCGCGTCGGGCAAGATCATGGTCATGGTCATCAGCGTGGCGGATCTCAAGAGGCGCGTCGAGCGGTCCAAGATGGGAGGCTCCCGCGGACCCAGCATGTCCCTGTACCCGTCAGGCATCCCCGACGACGCGCAGCTGCTGCTGGCGGCGACGACGACGCGCAGGCCGCGCAAGGGCAAGGGCGGCGACGTGCTGGACTCGTCGCTGAACCGGCTCGAGGCCGAGATCCCGGCGCCGACGGGTAATATCGCCATCGTCTTCACCGACATCAAGAACTCGACGATGCTGTGGGAGATGTGCTCCAGCGCCATGCGGTCGGCCATCAAGCTGCACAACGACGTCATGAGGCGGCAGCTGCGGCGCATCGGCGGGTACGAGGTCAAGACGGAAGGCGACGCCTTCATGGTGTCCTTCCCGACGGCGACGTCGGCGCTGCTGTGGTGCTTCGCCGTGCAGCTGAGCCTGCTGACGGTGGACTGGCCGGCCGAGGTGCTGTCGGCGTCGTCGGCCGAGGTGCTGACCGACAAGGACGACACGCTCATCTCCAAGGGGCTGTCGGTGCGCATGGGCATCCACTACGGCGACTGCGTGAGCGAGACGGATCCGGTGACGCGGCGCATGGACTACTTCGGCCCCATGGTGAACAAGGCGTCGCGCATCTCGGCGGTGGCCGACGGCGGGCAGATCACGGTCTCGTCCGACTTCATATCGGAGATCCAGCGCTGCCTGGAGACGTACCAGGACACGGACCGCGACCGCGAGCGGCGCGACCGCAGCGGGTCGGACGAGATGGCGGCGGCGGCCGGCTTCGACGAGGAATCCTACGCCAACTCGGTCCGGAAGGACCTCCGGTCGCTGACGTCCCAGGGCTTCGAGGTCAAGGAGATGGGCGAGAAGAAGCTCAAGGGCCTCGAGAACCCAGAGGTCATCTACTCCATCTACCCGCACGCCCTGGCCGGCCGCATAGAGTACCACCAGCAGAACGAGCGGCGGGCCGAGGACCCGTCCGACGCCCAGCGCGACAAGGCCACCATGCTGAGGGCCGGTGCCAAGCTGGACATGGAGCCGAACACGATATTAGACCTGTGGAGGGTCGGCCTCCGGCTCGAGATGCTGTGCAGCACCCTCGAGGAGGTACGCGGCCCCGGGCTGAGGCCGCCCCCCGAGTCGGAGTTTGTGGATCGATTGACGTCGAGGGGTGGTGAGATGACGGAGAGCTTCTTGGTGAATTTCATGGAGCATCAGATCAGCAGGATTGAGGTATCGACTTTTTCTTCTTTTTTCTGTCTCTTCCTTCCCAACTCTTCTTCTCCTCACATTTGCTAACAAGGGGTTTTTTTTTTCTCTTTCTTTTTTTCCTTCGAATTACAGACCTGCGTCACAACCTTGACTGTCCGTCACCTAGCAAGAGTCGACGACGGTCCTCTACGTGAACTGAACCAGCTCCGAGGTCCGATGGCTTCGATCCTCGACTTCTTCGCCCAGCAAAAGAAAGAGCTGGATCGTTACCGAGAATTATACGGCGACTTACCTCCTCCCGATGCTACCGCCACGGCGGGTGGTAGTGGCCGTAACATGACCACCAGTATTACCAACAACAGCATATATGAGGATGAAGAAGAAGGAGGAGGAGGAGGAGGAGATGGTGATTATGAAGAGGATGAGGAAGAGGAAGGAGAGGAAGTTTCTGTCGAGGCGGATGATGAAGACGACGATGAAGATGAGGAAGATGACGATGACGATGATGAGGAAGAGAATGGTAGTGATGAGAGTTGAAGAAATGTTAGTAGGGGCAGAAGGGAAAAGAAAAAAAGGGGGACAGGGAGGGGGGGGGGGAGGGACTTTTTTCGGGGTTTTTTTTTTATAATATACGGTATAAAAAAATTAAGGGGGGGGGGGGGGGGGGCTGTTGGTAAAAGGAATTCTGGAAGGGTAAAGGAAGGGAGGGCGGTATATCTGCAATCTGCATATGACTGACGCACATATTCAAACAAAAGGTTTCATATATATATATATACATATATATATATTAGTTGTTTTATACTGTTTTCTTCTTTCTAGTCTCGAGGGGGGTTTAATGTATATAGTTGTTTTTATGTTTATATATATTTGGTAGACAGTTTAATAGTCAAGGCGTCTCTTTATTCTTTATTAGGTATTCCTTTTTTTTTAAAAAAAAAACACAACTCTTTTTTAATTGGATAATCGCTGTCAAGGAGAAGAAAGGTGAAAAAGAAACAAGAATAAAGTAAGAGATGGAAATGAAGAATGATGATGTACTTTCTATATATAAAAAACGCTGACGTGAGAGGATAATATATGACCTTTTTTTTTTTGCGAGGGGAAAAAAATAAAAGGAAAGATTGAAGAGAAAGATTAAACACAAATGATGAAGGATTGAAAAAATAGAAGAAGGATTTCAAAGACTCATGTAGTCTGGTGATAACGTCTCATTAAGCGAATACGCGGAGCCATACGGGGACCAACCCACCAGCCACCTGTGCGCTTCCTGACCCACTGTCTGACCTCGGCGACGCGAGCGCCCAGACCGAGGATGTTGTGCTCCCCGTACTCGTCCTGGCTCTGACTACGGTCGGGTTCGGACAAGATGCCGGCGGCCTCCTCGCCGGGGCGGAGGAACTCGATGCCGGCAAAGGCTTGGATGACGCCGACGACGTCCCAGGCACCGATGGGCAGGTCGGGGTCCTCCTCCAGGGCGTAGCCGAGGCGGGACCAGTAGTGAGGCCAGCCGAGGGTGCCGTCGTGCTCGGTCCTGTCGAAGAGGAGGAGCGGGGCGATGGAGGGGTCGACCAGCATCCGGGCGTCCACGTCCGGGTCGTCGGCGGTGGCGGCGTACAGGGCCAGCGGCAGGCCGAGCGGGTTCTGGCCGAACAGGGTGAGGCCGGTCATGCAGGTGAGGACGTCGGCGTGGGTGAGGATGTGCGGCGGCATCTTGACCTTGACGTCCGGGTGGGGCGAGGTCGAGGCCACCAGGGCCACGTCCGAGGCCACCAGGGCGCGGAGCTGGGAGAGGGCGTCGCCGCCCGGGTAGTTGAGGGCGGAGACCAGGAGCATGGCGGCCGAGGCGGCCAGGCACAGCGGCGCGACGAGGCCGGCGGCGGCGGCGGCCAGGCGGCTGGGCAGGGAGCGTGGGGCGCGCGACGAGAGCAGGTTGGCGCCCAGGGCGGCGGCGGCCGTCAGCGGGGGGACGACGTAGAAGACAAAGCGGGCCTCCTTGTGCGGCTGGGCCGAGTAGACGGCCACGAAGAGCAGGGAGGGCACGCAGAGCAGTCTGGCCGGCCGGGACGTGGCCGGGTGCCACAGCGCGAAGCCGATGAGCGGCGGGGAGAGCGGGTTCATCAGCAGCCGCGGCAGCGCCGACGAGAAGTACCAGTGCCAGGGCGACACGCCCCACTCCGACGAGGACCCCTGGACCGCGTTGAAGTAGAAGGCCGACAGCTCCGGCCACACCGGCCTCTGCCAGAAGTACGAGTCTATGGGCACCGAGATGGCGAGCGACAGCGCCAGGGCGCCTAGGACGACGGGCGCCAGGGCCCTAGGGTCGGCGCGCCCGACCAGGACGAGGTAGCCGCCCAGCGAGGCCAGGAGGATGGCCAGCTCGGCGCGGAAGACGGCGGCGGCCATGGTCATCAGCACTATGGCCTGCTGCGTTCGACGGGATGACGCCTTGTCGTTCGTTGGGAGGATGAATGAGAAGGATAGGGTCGCTGGTGGCGGAGAGTGTTAGAGACGCTTCTCGTTCTGTTCCTTTATATATATATATACAGGATATGAACAGGATATATGAGAGTGATGTGCAGAAGGGGGGGGGGGAAGAAGGAAAACAGGAAGAAGGAAAGAAAGGAAGAGAAGAGAAACCTTACTGAGTCCAAAGGCAAACATGTTAGGAAGGGTCCTGGAGAGGTAGAACATGATGTGAAACTGGCAGACCATGAGGACCGTCCACCAGCGGCCGACGCCGACGCCAAACGCCCTGGAGAGGGACGTCTTCATGACGAGCAGGCAGGCGGCGTTGAAGGCGCCGAGCACGGCGCGCACGACCATCTGGGCGTGCCGGAAGCCGGTCACGGCGATGATCGGCTGGCTCACGCCCGAGAGGAGCACGGCGCCGACAAAGGTGCGCGGCACCACCCCGGGAAACGTCATGTGGTCATACGTCGTCGCCAGGCGGTCGCGGATGCCGCTGGTGGGCGTGCCGTAGACCAGCAGGTCGTGCGTCGCCTGCATGTTGAACGACTCCTCCACCTTTGTGTGAGGGGCCGCCAGGAGGTGGATGAGGGGGACGATGAAGAGGAGACTCGACAGCATGGGGTCTGGTGTTGTCCGTGGTCAGACATTGTTTGGGGGGGGGGATATCGCGAGCTCGTGTATATCGTCAAACCTGCAAGCTTTCTCTTTTTTTTTTTTCTTTTTTTTTTGCCTGGGTAAAGGTTGGGAGGAGGAGGGGAGGGTTGGGTTTGCTTCACATACCTATCAGCGTCTTCATCTTGACGGTCGACATGACTGGATTCTGATCAAGACATGTACGTAAATCACCTCATCCACATCAGAGAGAGAGTACGGGTACATGTATATATCTACAGCGAAACTGAAAAGACGACGTTGAGTGAGATGAGCTGAAGCTCCCCCCTCTACACCTGACACACACACAACAGCAACAGCCCGGATCGGCACAACCATCCCCCGCCCAACTCCAGCTACGCCAAAGCTACGCCATCAAATCATCTTCCCCCACAAACGCATCACCATCTCTGTCCTTCCACGTCGCATCGCAAAAGGTTCCCCCCACCTCATTCTTCAAAGATGCTCTACTTTGGCAACCTATTCTACTGTACGTTTTTTTCCCCCTTCTCTTTCCCCTCCATCTCATCTCTTCTCCTTCCTTCGCTCTGGGAATTTCCTAAACTTCCCCTTCGCCCTGCTAACCTAGAAATGAATATATAAAAAACATAGTCATCGTCCTCCTCATCAATGCCGTCGCTATTCTATCCGAGGACCGATTCCTCGCGCGGAGTATGTCTTTTTTTTTTTTCCACTTACCCTCCTTCAACCTCCCCGACAATATTCCACCGAACAGAAGAAGAAAAGAGAAGAGAGAGACAAACAGGAGATCTGACGTCGAGATAGTAAACTTCTCCCCATCTTCATACGACCCCGCCTTCGGAACCGGTACGGACGCGAGCGTCAAGGCAAAGGTCATCACTCTCATTGCCAGTACGAGGACGTTGATGCGAAGTACGTCGTCCCCCAAACTTCTACGCAGGAACAAGATACTCCCAGAGGTGCTATGCGAGAGATCGAAACAGAGTCCTACGGGTGGAAAGAACGGACCAACGAAGCGATCCGGAAAGAATAGAGGATGGAGAATGCCGATGCTGACTTCATCCAGTGCCTCTCATATTCGTCAATACTGTCATCATACTCTACGAGCTGGTCCTCGGTTAGAACGGTACGGCAGGGGGGAGAAGGAAAGAAAGAAGGAAGGAAAGGGGGCATCGCAACAGATGAGGGGGGGGACAGATGCATGGGATAAAAAGTCATAGAAAAGGACCGTCGAGGGCCGACGCGTAGGAGTTTACCGTATCCTACCGATCAGCGTCACGGCTGCGTGTCAGCTTGAAGATACGCTCAGATGCCATGTGTGCCCAGTTTATCTCTTAAATTGTACAATTATTCTGGCTCTTCTTTGTTCTTGTTTTTGCTTTTGGCTTTTTTTTCTTCTTCCTCCTATCCTTCTCTTGTCAAATCCAGACCTCCGAACCTCTGACCCCTGCCCTGGCTTGACCCCCAAGACTAGGCCAGGATGTTCGTGCTCTTCTTCCTCCCGGTAGTCGTGCTCAACCCCCTCCATCTACCCTGGCCGCCATTGCTCTCCGGCGGCACCCCGTTGCTCGTGGATGCAGATGCCGCCTCGGTCGTTGTCGTTGTCGGCGTCTCCGGTAGCGGCGGTGGTGCTTCCCCATTACTGCTCGCGCCTCTGTCCCTCTTGAGGAAGCTGACGCTCCTCCTGGCCATCGACTTGGACCCGCGTTTTGACCGGTCCAGGAATCCAAAGGGGCTGCTGCTCGAGTCGCTTCCTGCCCCTGCACCGTTGCCGTTGCCGTTGCCGTTGCCGTTGCCGTTGCCGTTGCCGCTTCCGTGGCCGGACTCTTTGTTGTTGCTGCTGCTGCTCCGGGACGTCTCCTCCTTGGCCGCCGACCTCTTGCTGGCCGCCATGGCCTTTTGAAGTTCGTCCTCCTCGTTGCGCCGTGCTGCCAGGTGCTTCAGGCGATCTTCCTGCCGCCGTCTCTCATCCTGCTTGGCCCGTTCTCTGCGCTCCTTCTCCGCCTGCTTCTCTGCTTTTTCGGCTGCCTCGCGTTCCTTCTTCTCACGTTTCCTGCCCTCCTTCGTCGACGTCGTGGGCTTGATCGCCTCGGCCTTGGGCGGCTGCGGCTGCTGCTGCTGCTGCTGCTGCTGCTGCTGCTCCGGCTCCTCGACGATCGTCCCGGATGACGGTGACGCTGCCAGGGCGCCGTGGTTCGGTGCCGTTGCCGGCGGTGCCAGGTCTATCGAGACCTTGGCATGCGCCGGGCTCGGTTCCGCCATGTCGTGGCTGTCCCTGCTGCCGTTGGTGCTGACGGGCTGTGCCGGCCGCGGCTGCGGGTGGGGCTTGTCGTGCCTGTCGTCGTCCCCGGTAGCCAGGTCGGCCGCCTCGTTGGCCAGCTTCACCTCCTCCATGCCTTCCCTGACGTGCTCCTCCCTGACCTTTTCGAACGTCGTCTCCTGATAGAATAGGACGTAAGCCGTGGCCATGCCGGGCTTGTCTCCGAAGAAGTTGCGCACAAAGTGCTTGTCGACGGGCTCCACCATCTCGTCGTCAAACAGGACCCAGCCGCGGTCCTTGGTCTTGACTATGGACACGTAGTGCCCGTGGTAGGCGTTGCCGCCGATGTGGACGACGACGGCGTACAGCTCGTACAGCCGATCCGGGTCCTCGGCCTCGTCCGTCGTGTTGAACATGCGCAGGTGGTACGGGTACACGACGCGGTGGAACAGCTTCTGCAGCCGGCTGTAGTCCTCGGTGTACTTGAAGCGCTTGAGGTGCAGCGTCAGCACCTTGGGTAGCCGCTTCACCTTCATGCGCTTCTCCGCCTCCTGCAGGCCGCCGCACGCGTCGCAGTGGAACTTGTTGCGCTCGCAGAGCATCTCGTCGTCCGAGAACTTGCGCAGGCACGACGTCACCGACGAGTGCTCCTCCAGGTCGATCGACAGGTCGAGGAACGTCTCGTCACGCCGGGACGCCGTCCCGCACGACAGGCACTGCGTCTCCGACGTCAGGAGACCCTCGAATATGTCGTGCACCCAGCCGGTACCTGGCGGCCTCGCGGCGCCGTTCACGTGGTTCGACTGTCCCAGCGCGTTGCCCACCGACTCGGACAGGCCTCTGCCGTCGTCCTCGAGCGCTGCCGCCTGCGTCGCCTGGACCTTGCGGGCGTTCTCCTCGACGTTGGCGATGACGTCGTTGAGGACGAGACCGTAGAACTCGTGGGCGTCCTGGTGCATGGAATTGCGAAACAGCTCATTGTCCTTCTTGAATATCTCGAGGAATCGCTGGGGGCTCAGGACGCCGGTGCGGCTCTGGCTCTCGATGAGGGCGAGGAAGATGTCCTTGAGGCCGGTAAAGGTGCACTCGTCCATGCCGTAGGCTTCGGCGCGCTGCTGGGCGAGCTCGAGGATCGGGCCCTTGAGCATAGCCTGCTTCTTCTTGTACTCCGGGGTGTCGGGTTTCTCGTCGGGACGGACAGCGCCAGGGGCGGAGCTGCTCTGTCCTCCTCCGATGCCGAGGCCCTGCCTCTGCCTCGTGCCATGGGCCACGCCGGTACCGTTCTTCTGCTGGATGTTCAACGGGGTCGGGTTTGCGGGGGCGCGGATGGTGACGTCGACCCTTGGCCGCCCGTCGTTGGGGTGGTCGGCTGGAAGTCGGGACGGGTAGTTGATGACGTGTTCGCGGAACAGGTCGTTGTAGAAGAGGGCCTGGACGATCGAGTTGCAGTAGCTGTGGGGTCAGGTCATCTCGTTAGCGGGACCGGCATCACGGATGGAGCGAGGGGCGGTCGCAGTACCAGGTGTTTCCAAACTGAGGCGACTATTACGTTAGCTTTTTGCGATCGGCACTGGGTTCCGATCCCGACGGTAGGGCGAGGAGACGGAGGAGGGATTGCGCGAGGTGACCTACATTCTCGAAACCGTAGAAGCGGTCGCTCCCATCCTGACGAAGCGGACCGGCATTCTGGAGCATCTTCTCGAGCGGAGTCAGTTCGCTGGATTGGCTGTCATCCCTCTTCTTGGGGGCAGCGTCCTTGGCGGCCGGGTTCGCAGAGCCCTAGAGGCGAGAGGCGGTGTTCCGTCAGCAGAGCGCAAGGGAGGAGAGGCAGGGAGCGGGCTCGAGGATCCTTGGCGCGCAGGCACCAAAGGCGAAAAGGACGCATGCGGGGGGGCGGAGGGAGGAGAGGGAGAGGAGAGGGAGAGATGATGGGGATGATGTCGAGGAAGCTTCATACCGTGCCGCCACCGATGATCTTGTGGAAGAAGCTAGCCATGCTGGCGTGGGAGGAGAGGTGTTGCGCCGGCGACCGGAGGGTGGATGGCGGGTCAATTGAGGGAGCAGAGAGAGGGCGGTGATGTGAGGTGCGTATGTGTGTGTGTGTCGCGGCCGTGGGTGAGCGACAGCCTTACGCTGCGCGACACTTGGGGTCCACGACGAGCTGCGCACGTGGAGAATGCACGGAGCCCATGCGTGAAGACGGGGACGGGGAAGACGGTGAGCCGTCGACTCGATGAAGCTGCGGAAGAGACCAGACCCCTCAAAGCCGAGGAAACGAGAAGAGGCTGCTGGGGCGTGATGGTGGTGGTGGTGGTGTCGGTGGTGGCCAATCGGTCGAGGTGCGGAGTCGGAAAGCGTCGGCGGGATAGGTATTCACCGAGCGCAATTCGGGACAAGAAAACGATGAGAAGGGGGGGAGGGAGGACTGACGGATGAGGTGATGATGTATCAAGGAGAGGAGGAGAGGACGGAGGGAGTGACGCTCGAGGGTGCAGAAGATGGGGAATGAGTGGGTTGGAGAGAGTGGAAGGAAGTAATGGAAGAGTCGAGGAAGGTGGGATGGTGGTGTCAAGGCAGTACGAGTAAGTAGCAGGACTGTACGGATTGGATACTCGTAGATTCGTACTACTACCACTACTGCTGCTGCTACTGCTACTGCTACTACGCAGCTGCAAGGGAACGACAGTAGAAGCACTGGAGCAGTAATAATGGCAGCGGGAGCGTATCTCTGCTATCTGCGGTTCGACTAGTACGTGGGTGTTGGTGCTCGCAGTATTGATACCTGGTCGACGTACAGTCTGTACTCCGTCATGTACTCCGTACTCGCAGCAACCGTCTTCCGGGTACCGTCGCCAGGGGAGTGTCTACCTGCCCATCCGCAACGCTGGATGTACCCGTACCGATCCGTGACAGATGGATGTCACCCGTACTGTACCGCCAGCTCCAGCACTCTCTACCGTCTCTCCGCGAGATGGACATGGGATGGCGGAGGAATGGGTGGGGGGAGTTGCGGATTAACTGGAGGCCACCAAACAGAATGGGAAGATGCAGGGGAGGAGGGTACGAGCAGGGCTTGGGTGTGATGGATTGATGATGCCGTTTCTCGATGATGGTGTTTCGTACACTCGGTATGCCCGTATGCTCGTATGCTCGTGTGCCCGTATGCTTCCCAAGGGCCGAGGCTAATTGATCAATCGATACTCTCTCGGGTCTACGCCACCGTCGGTCGATGGCATCACGGGTAGAGTCGATACGGACCTGCGTCCAAGATGGCGTGTCCGGACGTTGGACGAGAGGTAATATGACGCTCCGGGGAAGGATCCATGGAAGGAGGCCCATGACCTCCCATCGATGCCCTCCATCCCGGATGATAGCGGCAGAGTACGGAGTACGTACGAGCAGAGATGGGCGGTCCCGCCAGCACTGCACTGGCCGTCCGTCAGGCCTGTTGGCCGTAGTCCCCCTCCACATGTATCAGCATCTACTCGTGTTTTTTATCTTCATCTTCTTCCTCGTAGCCTGCAGGCCTCCCCCCCTCCTCTCAGGCAACTATCATCACCAGAATCTCCCGCTGCCGCAACACTCCGTGCTGCCAACGCTCCCGTACTGCCAATACTCCGTACTGCTACTCCAGGTACGTAGGTCGGTACCGCAGATACATGCAGGTACCTCTCTCGTACCTCCAGGCTGCCTGCGCAGCATGTACTGTACTCGTCGTCTACAAGGCGATGCTGGCTTCCCCCACCCTCTGACCCCTGTAAAACTCCCGCAATCCCAATACGTATTATGATTTATCACTGCACAACCTGGAGTTCATAATGCTCTCTATACGCACGTACGGATAGACGTCCTCTCTCGTGCTTCTACAGCGCAGGGGACCCCCCTTCCCCCCCGGGCTCGAGCCCCACGCAGGCCTGCCTCGGGGCAGGTCAGAACCCCAGGAACGCTGTCATCTACGCTAGGCGGTCCGTGGGATGGTGGTAGCAGTCACTGGTGATACTCGCAGTCGGTACTTCGGTCCGTACGATCTGTAGGCTACGGTAGGCGTCTGCGTATGTGCAGATGGTGCTACCGCGTACACGTGTTCGTACTCGTCGATTCCGAACGATGACGATGATCACGATGATGCTTCCGTGCTGATGCTCCGTAGAGCGATACTCCGCAGATGATACTGCGCACTCGTCAACTGACAATGACCGACTGCACGCAATCAGTGGGCCTGCCAAGGAGAAGCCACCCCCTCTCCGGACTCCGAGGACCGATGATAAGTCGCGGATGTTACCACTAGGTATGTACGGAGTAATAGTAGGTGGGTAATACTACCACTACTACAGATTACTATTACTACTATTACTACTGCTGCTGCTGCTGCTACTGCTGCTGCTGCTGCTACTGCTGCTACTACTTTTACGACTATTACCACCGCTACTACTACTACCGCTACGACTGCTGCTGCTACTACTACTACACTATCACTAGTGCTACTATTACCACTACTATCGCTGCTGCTGCTGCTGCTGCTGCTGCTCCGTACATGTACTAGCAGCATTACCTGCAGCCCCCGTAGGGCATGGAGAACAGGCAGAGAAGGATACGAAACATGCCCGTCATGTACCAGTATCAGCCCACGAGCTCTGATCCAATCGCCCACGGGTCCGTCCCACGACCGGGGAACGGAGGACAGAGACGTTGTTGTTACCTTAACTCCGTCCCCGGTACCTCGAGTACGGCGTAGTGGTGGCAGCTGTGGGAGCACGCTGGGCAGTAGTGCCATGCGGCCCATTGGCCCCCTCCCCAGGCCAGATATTGACTGTTATTGCTTGTATCAGCTTCTCTCCCCCCCCCCCCCCCCCCCCCCCCCCCCTCCCCGGCCACTCGCGCTAGATACGGCCGAGTTGCGTGTTGCGCGCTAACCTCGTCCACTTGCATCAGATAGATCATACGCATCAGCAGCACCGGTCGTTTCTGCGCGCAGTATCGATGCCAGTATTCGACAATTATCAATACTCCGTACATGTACGGGTAGTCGCGCAGTTGGCGCAGTTGTAAAGGCCTCCCGGTACCATCTTCCACCTATGCTTCTTTCTGTCTCTCTCTCTCTCCCTCTCTCTCCCTCTCTCTCTCTCTCTCTCTCTCTCTCTCTCTCCAGTCTCTTGTTNCTATGCTTCTTTCTGTCTCTCTCTCTCTCCCTCTCTCTCCCTCTCTCTCTCTCTCTCTCTCTCTCTCTCTCTCCAGTCTCTTGTTCTGTGGTGCCCCATACCACTCCCACTCCCATACCACTCTGAGCCTCTGAGCCATCTCTGCATCTACCCGTGCAGGTACGTGTTTACTCGCTACATATCACGGTAGTAATGATACTCCGTACAGTATTACCATGTATAATCTGACCTCGTGTCGTCGGGTTGGGTCGGGGTCGTTGGTTTTTTTTTTTTAATCTTTATGCCTGTCCCGTGCCTGTGGGGGTATGTAATAATCACTAGAGCCATGCATCTGTCATCCATCGAGAAAAAAAAAGAACAGTCCGACTCTTTTTTTTTTTTCTTTTTTTTTTTTTGCGCCAAGAAACAGAGGGAAGAGGAATCTGGATGGAAGAAGAAGGACCGAAATCGAAGACATCCACCACCTACCATGTACTGCTACAGACCTATACAATGCATTCATCCTGACCTCCTCCCCGGGGGCTCGCTACGAACCTACCAGGCAATATTATTACCGTGTGTGCGCACACGTCGCCTTCCGCCCTCCTTCTAGAATGTACGACGAGATTATCCGGGGCAAGGCACACACACACACACACACACACACAACCAAACCACGTGAGATCGGATAGGCTTGTCCCTCCGCCCCCTCCTTCTCCACATTCTTGTCACGCAGGCGAGAGAGGGGTCATGATCTGGTCTGAGAGGGTTGTGCTTTCAACCGGCAGCATCCTCCATCCGGCTGGGCTGATCAGGCGAGAGAGAGAGGGAGAGAGGGCATTACGCAGGAGTGGAATGGGGTGATGATCAGGGTATCATGTATATTTTATATACATCCTGGTTGGCATCACGCCGCCTGTACTGGTGATAACTCGTACGAGACGATACCAATATCGCGAGACGGAGACGGATTAGCTTAGAAACTGATTGCTACCGGGTACGTATCACTCTGTATCGGATCTCAAGACGTCTTCCGGTCGCACGTGCAGCTCACTGTCGACCCTCCATGTGGATGATGATACCAAACATCACCCCCATCGTTGCACGGTCGTAATACTGTACGTAGGGTCGATCATGTTTGGGTTCAGACCTGACCTCTCCCTCTCTCCCTCACTCCCCCTCTCCCTCTGTCCCAAGCAGGCCTGACCTATGCGGCCTCAGGACACATGCAATATTGCCAGCTTGCCTACTGACTAATAAGCTAGCAGCAGAAATTGTTTCTGCATGCAGTGCACCATATCACGCCGCAGTCCACTTTTCTTCTTCCTCTTCTTCTCTTTTTCTTTTCCTGCCTCTTCTTTGTCGCCCTCCCCGATCATCTAGGGAAGAGGGTGTAGGGTGCGTCTGCGGGGTTGGCTGCTAGTCGGCGATGGATGACGGTATAAACCGGGAGGGGGGGAGGGGCAAACAAAACTTGTTCTCCTATTGCACTTTCTACTTCTGATACTCTTCCGCCAGTATTCTCGACTCGTCTCTTATTTATCTTCTCCATCTTGTTCGAGCATCGTGGCGCAGGCTATGTGCATGTGTACAGCAGTGACAAGTGTACGAGCCTACGATAGATGTCGTATTACCGTCACTTCACTGCATGCACATGTTCTTCGAGACTGCTGCATATAAAGGGGAAAAAAATTGAGGAGCCAACAGCATGGTATCAAACTAGCTAATACTACCCCTCCTTTTCTCCTCTCGAATATGTAAGAAAGGGAATCATCCCAGCCTGATGGTCTGACCTGTAGCAGCAGAGAGAAAGCAGAGAGAGCAAGGCAAGGCAGGCAAACAGCATGCCGGAACCGTCTCCGCCTATTTCTTCTCCTCTGCCGGGGGAGCACCACCAGTGGTAGGGAAGCCCATGAAGATCTTGAAGTAGTCCTATGGTCAAGTATATCAGCAAAAGGGGCCAGGATGTCAGACAAGAAGAAGAAGAAGAAAACCGTCTTCTCAAAGCACACACAAGGAAGACGAAGAGAAAGAGGGGGGAGGAAGGGAAAAAAAAGGAAGGAAAAAAAAAAAAAAGAGACATACGTAAATCATCCACTGCAGACCAGTAAGGGTACCGATCATGACGATACGGACGGGCAGACCGTTCCACAGTCCACCGAACCCGATATCCTTGTATATCCTCCCGACGGCGCCGCCAAACGACTCCCCGGCGCCGCGGTTAGAGTTGAGCTTGCTGACCATGACGTCGGCGGGGTGCGAGACGACGGCGCACAGGATGCCGGCGAGGTAGCCGCCCGTGAAGGAGACGCCCGTCTGCTGCAGCTTGGAGTAGTCGTCCTTGGATCCGGGGAGGCGGGCGTAGATGTTCTCGACGATGGTCTCGAACGAGGCGAACTTCATCATGGTGTAGGGGATCTGGCGGCCCCACAGCGGCGCGATGCCCTTGTACAGGCCCCCCCAACCCTCGGCGGCGACGATGGACCGGATGCCGTCCAGGGTGCCGCGGTAGGGGCTGGGGATGCTCCCCTGCGATCGGACCTTGACGGCCTCGAACGGGCACAGGGCGATGTCGGCCAGGAACTCGGCCGACGCCGACGCCGCCAGGTACAGGCCCGTCTTGTACTTGGCCGCCGCCTCGGGCCCGGCCGCGTCCGAGTACGTCTTCTTGAAGTACTCGTACCATCCGTACTTGAAGGCGCCCTGCGCCGAGTAGCCGAACAGCGTAGGGCTCCAGCCCGTGAAGATGCCGCGCAGCCCCTCCCCGCGGTACACCTTGCCCCATGCCTGGAAGTTGCCGGTGTATAGCTTGGGGTCCACCTGTCGGCGCGTCTTGACGAGGTCGAGGGGTGTCACGGCCGTGTGGGTGAGGCCCTGGGTTCCCAAGTCAGACAATCAGAGGAGCTCTAGGAGGAACCTTCATCGAGGAGGTCGGGGGGGGGGGGGGGGGGTAAGAGATGAGAGGGTTTAGGAGAGAGGTGGTGACCGGTTAGCTGGTTACTCACACAGGCTAGGAGACCTCCGAATGTGCAGGCGGCATAGTATTCGCCCGAGTAGAGCTCGATGCCCGGCTTCTTGACGCCCGCCTTTTCAAGTTGCGACATGGTGATCTTCTTTCTCTCTTTCTATCCGAGGTCGGTCCTATCGTCAGACACGTCAGCACGCATCCGAAACCGTCCATCCCCTCATCTCCCCTTCGGGAGGGTCGGGGTAGCGTGTAGAGCGTAGCGGACTCACCTCGAGGAAGGCTGCAGAGAGACGACACAGAGATGGAATGGTAGAGTAAGGCAGGGAAGAAAGGGGAGAAGAAGAGGGTGAAGGGGAGAGATGGACTTGCTGAAATAGATGAGCAGAGAGGGAGGGATTGCCGACTGCGTGTGCCGGCTGACTGCAAAGCAAGAGCAGCGACAAGTGTGACATCACCTTCTTCCCCGGTGCTCCCCGATCTCTGGACGCAGGCCCAGACAGCATGCTGCTTATCAGTCATTGATTCGAGCAATCATCTTCTTTTCCCTCCCCTTCCACACCCAGCTCTGGTCCCTCCATTCTCTCATCTCGACTCCTCTCCAGTGCTCTGACTTTTTTTTCTTTTTCTATTCTTTCTTTCTACGGACTGGTAGGGTCTGAGTTGGTGTGGATGGCCATCATGATCCATATCATATAATTACGGTGCATCCTGGGGAGGAGTCTACCGGTGCTGGAGTGGAGCCGTCGGCAAGTAAAGTAAGCACCAAACCAGCTCTGGTTCTTTTCCCGCATCATTGTCGGACCCCACCCAAGCTTTGATCACCGAGTCATCCACCGAGCTCTTCTTCTTCATCACCTCCCATCTATTTGATATTCTACCTATAACGTCTCTCTCTATTGCATTCTGCTGCCTCTCACTCCTCCCCCCCCCCCCCCCCCCCCCCCCCCCCCCCCA